GTTCTTTCCCCGGAATCTTTTCGATTCCGAATCTCTCCATCGTGCCGTTACTAAATGCGAATCTGGAAACGGTTTAGTGGCACCATTTAATATAGCACGAGACGAAATCACTAACCACCCCCCTGAATGGGCTTCTCCTAGATAATTGTTACTTGGAATCAGTTGTTTCTGGAATTGTCTGTATTGGATTTTTTTTGTTGAAATTACATTTGTAAAAATTAAATAGTTTTGGAATATCACTTTTTGGTATTTAATATTGTAGTTGAAAGATTTAGGATTGACATATTCAAATTACAGCATTCTAGCACATAATACCCTTTAAAATCCCTGTTGCCAGGTTTACGTAACTTTAAATCAGGAATAAACCAGTTAAATTATATATAAACTTGTCAATTATATATGATTTAACTGGTTTATCCTTGATTTAACGATTTGGAGATTTAATGAAATAATTTTTTATTTCATACTTTATGTAACAAAAATTTAGTATTCAGTTTGTTAGTTAGTTAGTTTGTTAATTTTAGTCACTTTAAGTGTTTAATACTGTAGTAGATAGATAGACATTTTTTTGCTACTTTAATTAAAATGTCTAACCTTGTGTGATTCAAAAATTTCGGTTGACAGTTTATATATTATATGGATTAACTTCCTTATTCTTGATTTAACGATTCGGAGATTTATTTAAATAATTCTTCGTATAGCATGTATTTATAACAAAATACATTACTTTTAGTATTTAATATTATTGTAGACAGATTTAGGAATGACATATCGAAATTACAGCATTTTAACACATAATACGTACCTTAAAATTTCTGTTGCCACTTTTACGTAACATTAGAAAGACATTTTGCTGGTATTTTAATTATTAATGTTTGACCTTGTGTAATGAAATTTAACAAGATAGTAGATAAATCATAAGCACTTTGAATTCCTTGCTTCCAGTTTATATATATTTTAACTTTTTTATCCCTGTTTTAATGATATAGAGATCTCTCAAATAATTCTTTGTCACATTTTGTGTAACAAACTCTATTAGATTTAGAATTTATATTATTATAGTAGACTGATTTAGAAATGCCATATCCAATTTTATTTGCATCCTAGCACAAAATACGCGTTTTAAAATCCCTGTTGCCAGTTTTACATTAAACATTCAAAATTCTAAATTATTTAAATATATTTACAAATCGTTAAATCCGGGATAACAAGTTAAATTAGATATAAACTTGTCAATTATATATATAATTTCACTTGCTTATCCCTGATTTGACGATTCGAATATTTGTTCAAAAAATTCTTTATATCACATGTTATATAACAAAATGCATCAGTTTTAGTATTTAATTTTGTAGTAGACAGATTTGGGAATGACATATCGAAATTACAGCATTCTAGCACAAAATACGCACCTTAAAATCCCTGTTGCCAGTTTTACATAACATTAGAAAGATATCTTATTGGTAATAGAATTAAAATATTAATGCCTAACCTTGTGTGATTCAAAAATTCCTGTTGACAGTATATATATATATATATATATATATATATATATATATATATATATATATATATATAGATTAACATTTTTATTCTTGATTTAACGATTCGGTGATTTATTCAAATAAATCTTTATATCACATGTTATGTCACAAAATACATCAGTTTTAGAATTTAAATATTGTAGTAGATAGATTTAGGAATAACATATCGAATTACAGCATACTAACCCACAATACGCACCTTAAAATCCCTGTTGCCAGTTTTACGTAACATTAGAAAGACATCACACAAGGTTAGAATTTTTTTAGCCTTGTTTGATAAAAGTTAACAGTTTTAACTTTTACCATTATTATTATACAAATTATTAATAATATCTAATCGCACGCGATAAAAATCACAACTTTTACAATTTATCATCAGACATAATCAGTAGTGATATCTTCATATTCGCGAACAGCACACTTTAAAATCCCTGTTGCCAGTTTATCTTTTAAACTTTCCAAGTGTCAACCCTCCCTGATATATTATTTCCGTCCGCCACAGTGTAGAATACTAATTACTATTACCATTATTATTATTATCATCATCAACAACAACAAATGAAAGTTTTCGCAATTACGAGATTGCATTTCTCCATTTCTGCATTTCCCCATTTCTGCATTTCTGGCAGACGTGCGAAATTATGCAAAGTCGTCGTAAAAACATTTGCGAAACAGAAGCGCAGAATGTTTTGTTGTTGTTTTGTCGTGTTTTGTAATAATTTCAATTAACACGAAGATGATGGGACAAGTTTATTTATAACGGGGAATAAAGTTAGGCCGAGGATGAAATAGACGGGGAGCCGGGGGTAAAAGATAGAAAGGAAATAAGTAACTAACTCCTAAATCTGCTTATTATAATTTTAAAGATAAGAATTTATGAATTGCAAATAAATTTTCTAATAATTATCTAATAATTTTTCTAATTGCTTTCTTTCTAATGTTACATAAAACTGGCAACAGGGATTTTGGGGTGTGTAGTTTGTACCAGGATGTTGCAATTTTGGTATATGACACCTAAATCTGTCTACTACAATTTCATAAACTAAAATTGGGAAATTTTATCACGTAAGAAGAGATATAAGTAGTTATTTGGATAAGTGTACCATTGATACGATAAATTGGCAATAAAATTTCTGGGGCTAATATTTTGCGCCGACATGCTTCTTATACTAACATACTCGTAAATACTAAAAAAGCATATTTTTTTTTGTTAGCTTAAATATTATTATTAATTTGAATAAAGTAACTCGATGACATCTTTCTAATGTTACGTAAAACTGGCAACAAGGATCTGAAGGTGTTCAGTTTGTGTTAGAATGCTGTCATTTAGATATATTGTACTTAAATCATGTACTACAATGGTAAATAAAAATTTGTATAAATTTTATCACATTGTCTATTATAATTGCATAAACTAAAATTACGGATTTTTATTACATACGAAAAGATTACACTACTTATTTGGGAAAGCAGTAAAGTATAGAAGATGATACAATAAATTGGCAACTGGGGCTAATATTTTACTCCTAGATCGATGCATTTTATTTTAAATTGTAAAAACTGCTACTGATGATTTTTTTGCGCTAGATTAGACATAATTAATAATTTCGATAAAGTACCTTGATGACGGCTTTCTAATATTACGTAAAACTGACGTAAATCTGAATCTATCTATTATAATTGCATAAACTAAATTATATCACCTAAGGATTTTATCACGTATTTGTACTTATTTGGATAAATGTCAGTTGATACAATAAATTGGCATCAAAAATTCTGGGGCTAATATTTTGCGCAGACATGCTTTTTATACTAACATAATTGTAAATACTCATAAGAAGCATAATTTTTTTTCGTTAGATTAGATATTATAATTAATTTAAATAAAGTGCCCTGATGACGTCTTTCTAATGTTATGTAAAAAACTGGCAACATGGATTTGAAAGTGTTCAGTTTGTGTTAGGACGCTGTAATTTGGATATAATTTACTTAAATCTGTGTACTACTATAGTAAATAATAAACTCAATAAATTTTATCATACTAGTCGAAATATTAACACAAATTGTTGGATTTTGTAATTACACCTAAATCTGTCTATTATAATTGCATAAACTATAATTAAGGATTTTTATACCGTAAGAAAAGATTGCACTACTTATTTGGGAAAGTGGTAAAGAATACAAGATGATACAATAAATTGGCAACTAGGGCTAATATTTTACGCCTAGATACATACCTCTTATACAATTACAGTTGTAAATATTACTACTGATGTTTTTTTTACGTTAGATTAGATATTATTATTCATTTCAATAAAATACCTTGATGACATCTTTCTAATGTTACGCATAACTGGCAACAAGGATTTCAAGGTGTTCAGTTTGTGTTAGGACGCTGTAATTTGGATATATTGTACTTAAATCTATGTACTACAATGGTAAATATAAAAATCTATAAATTTCATCACTATAGTCGAGATATTAACAATAATTTGTTGAAAGTACCACAAAATGAATACCCTGAAATTGACAAGGGGAATGTTGGGATTTATTTTAGATTGTTACAATTTTGGTGTATTATCTAGATATTAATAAATTGAATAAAGTACCTTGATGATGTCTTTCTAATGTTACGTAAAACTGGCAACATGGATTTGAAAGTGTTCAGTTTGTGTTAGGATGCTGTAATTTGGATATGTCGTACCTAAATCTATGTACTACAATGGTAAATAATGAATTCTATAAATTTTGTCATACTGGCCGAGATATTACCACAAATTGGTGGATGTTGCAATTTGGATATATTACATCTAAACCTGTCTACTATAATTGTATAAACCAAAACTAAGGATTTTCATTACGTAAGAAGAGATTACACTACTTATTTGGGAAAGTGGTAAAGTATATAAGATAATACAATAAATTGGCAACTAGGGCTAATATTTTACGCCTAGATTGATGCATCTTATACTACTATAGTTGTAAATATTGCTACTGATGGTTTTTTTACGTCAGATTAGATATTATGATTAATTTGAATAAAATAACGTGATAACGTCTTTTTAATGTTACGTAAAACTGGCAAAAAGGATTTGAAGGCGTTCAGTTTGTGTTAGAATGCTGTAATTTGAATATATTGTACTTAAATCTATGTACTACAATGGTAAATGAAAAATTCTATAAATTTTATGACACAAGATGAGATTTTAACGATTATTTGTACAAGGTACCACAAATTAAACCAGACTGTTACAGTTTTAGTGTATTTTTGTTTAAAAGTCTTTTTATCAAAATCTGTACATTTTTTTACCCAAAACAAAATGTTATTAATAATAGGCAATCAGATTCTTTTTTCTAGTGATACTACAAATTGGAAACACGATCTTGTAACTATATTGCTGTATTCAAGTCTGTGGCAAATTTCAAATTGGTCTTATAGTTCTTTTTTCCTTTCAGGTTCAACAAAAACGAGCAACAGCCTTAGGAGTCTTAGAAGCCTTAAGAAGTGGTTGCCAAAGCACTGGACGTACTGCTGTTGTCTCCAGAAAACAGCTGGTTCTTGATGTTCTTGGTATTTTGAAACGGATTTTGAGCCCTAGTTTGAGGAACGTGTCTTTGCAACTACTGACACCAAGGTAAGGAGAAAAATACAACAAGAATTGGCTTTAGGAATCACCAGCTGCAGGATCTAAGTCTAAGATATGTTATATTTTTATTTTTTAGTGAACGTTTGGACCTCAGACATGCCGTCAACGTGATGGCCGATTTGGGCTTAGCTTATTCCCAAGGAAGATCAGCTGATGGAACTTACCATTACCAACTGGAACCAGATATAGATTTGGTTGGACTGTTTCCGGTAAAAGAATAATATGATAATCTATTTCTCCCTCAGCCTCAGTGTTCGTCCTTTTCTATATTTCCATTACTTTTTTCTTCAGATGTTCCCCAGCCTCAAACTTTGTCCTATTGGGGGCAGCAGCTGATCGCTCGAGAAGTCGATGTCGAGAAAATAGAAGATCAGCTCCAAAAGTGACAAGTAAAAGTCCAAGGACAAGGAAAATGATGATAATGTTGCCAAAAAGGCAGCAAGTTCGAGAAAAGTGTTCTAGGTGCTCCTAAATTGCTCCAAATACGAATTTGCCAAACCATTTACAAACGTGCAACCGAAGGCTGCCAATTTTGGACTGCCGAAGAAGAATCTGGTAAGTTTTAGGAATAGAATTTTGGTGATAGGTAAATTTAATGTATGTGCGATTATGGATTTTGAGATAATAGCTTAGGTTTTTGCTAGAAAAATCCGATTTTTTTTGTTAAGTTAGGTTTTTCGAAGTCTTGCGTCATTGGAATCGTTTGCCACCGAAATTGTTGAAGTTTATACGTAGAATGAATGTTGGTTTTTTTTATATCCATTTTCGAACTTTTCAGAACAATGTCGTAATCTTTAAAGCATTTTCAGGCTATCTAGAACATTTTCAAACTACCCCAAATTATTCTTAAACTGTCTACAACATTTGAAAATTATCTAGAATATTTTTAGACTATCCAGAACACTTTCAGATTTTCCAAAACTTTTTAACACTTTGAGAATATCCCGAACATTTTAGACTATCCCGACTGTTTCAGAATATTTTCAGACTATCCAGAATACTTTGAGACTTTCCAGAAATTTTTTAAGAATGTATTAGAACATTTTAGACTATCTAGAATATTTTCAAACTATCCAGAACATTTTTAGATTATACAGAACTTTTTAAGACTGTCCAGAATATTTTCAGATTATTCAGAACACTTCCTACTATCCAGAACTCGTTTAAGACTATTTTAGAACATTTTGAGGCTATCCAGAGTTTCTCTAAAACACTTTCAGATATCTAGAACATTTTTAAACTATGTACAACATTTTAGGCTATCAAGAACATTTTTAATTTATCTAGAGACATCAAGGACATTGATATATCTAGAGTTTTTCGGATTATTCTGAATATTTTCAGACTATCTAGAACTATGTGGAACTATGTAGAATTACATAGCACTTTCTAGAACTTACGGACTATCCAAAATTGCATAGGACTATATAAAAACTATAACCATACAGGACTATCTAGAACCAGATAGGACTCTCCAGATCTATATGGGACTACCAAAACTATATAGGACTATCTAGAACTTATAACACTATCTAAAACTATGTTAAAATATCTAGAACTATACTGGACTCTCTAGAATTATATAGGACTATCTAGAAGTATGTAGGACACTCGAGAATATATAGGACTTTCTAGAAATTTGTAGTATTATCTAGATCTATGTAGGACTACCTAGAATTGCATAGAATTATTTAGAACTATGCAGGACTATCTAGAATTATACAGGACTATCTAGAACTATATAAGACTCTCTTTTTATAGGACTATCGAGAATTATGTAAGATTATCTAGAACTATTCAAAAACTATCTAGAACTGAATTTATATTTAGAATTATATAGTATCTAGAACGTTTTCGAACAGTCAGGATATTTTCAAGACTATCTACAATGTTGTCAAACCATCTAAGACATTTTTAGGACTATCTAGAACATTTTTAGACTGTCGAGAATATTTTATATTGCCTAGAACAATTTTATACTGTCTAGAAGATTTTCATTTTATCTTCGACATTTTCAGGCTAACTAGGACATTTTGAGTCAATCTTGAATACTTTCAGACTATCTAGAACATTTTCAGATTTTCTAGAACAATTCCAACTATTTAAAATGTAGACAATCTAGACTTTTCAGACTATCCAAAATATGTTCTGAAAATATTTAGAACAATTTTAGACTATATAGAAACATTTTAGGTTATTTAGACGATTTACCTACTATCTAGCACATTTTCAGAACATATTTAGACTTTCTAAACCGTTTTTGGATTTGGACTCGCTAGAACATTTTTTGACTATTCAAAGCAACATTTTTGAGCCATATATAACATTTTTAGACTCGTTAGAACATTTGCAAACTAGA